GTAATAATGCCTTTAAAAGGGTCTGCGCACCCATTTTCTGTCAGAAGCCATTAAACTTCTCCGAAGTTCTTTCATTAACCTGAACTCTGTGTCTCAGTGTGAATTTACTTCTGCGTGCACGCAACTTTATTATCTTTAATTTGGACAGGAACAGATAGTCATTCAAACTAATTGGTTTGCAGTAAATCAACTACAACAGCTGGCGCCCAAAACGTGGGGCTCTGGGCTATGTCCTGCCTGGGCAGCTGTCCAAGAAGACGCTGGGGGGATGAATCCTGGGGGAAGGAAAAGAGCCTGATCACCTCTGAATACACGGTAGAGATTGCTGCAGCACCTAGCCGGTATGTTCCTACCCCTGTGATTGACCTGTCCCAGTGTCTGTGACTGCTGCCGAGAGGACATCAAAGTCAGGTAATAACTTGCCCAGAGTCTTTGTATTGTTAATGATACTTAATTTACCTGCATGTTGACTATCTGTTGCCTGGGTGTGTTTGTATTGGTTTGTGTTTAATTTAGTACCCGGGGAGTGTGAGTGCCTGTTTACTCCTTTTAGGTACCACGTGGCTGTGGTAGTAAGGAAAAAGGGGGGTGGACCTGTGGAAGTTTTCCTGGGGGTCCTCTATTGCCTGTTTAACTCTTTTAGGAGCCACGTAGCTGTGGCTGTAAGGAAAAAGAGTAGGGGGAATCTGTGGAGGGTGGTGTAGACTCACTGCTTCCTGGGGGTTCCCCATAGTGTCGCTTTGACTGCTTAGCTAGCCTCATCGGACACTTCTTCTTGGTAAAATTCCAGCCTCGAGCGCTGAGGCAGGTAAGATTCCAATTCTTTAGGCTATACAGGATTCGGGTTGGAAGCTGTTGCTGTTTCCTGTGGCTGCTGGTAGTGAGACTTGCGGGTGGGTCCGCAACAGGGACACTACGAGGTTGAGGGAGGTGGCTTTTGGCCACACGAGTAAAGGCAAGGGATAAAACTGTTGAACTTATTTGAACTGTGATGCATGCACTGTATTTACACTGAAATGTTATTGTCTTAATTGTCTGTCACACAGATTCCTGTGTTTACTTTTATCTTACTCACTGTACTATTTACACTTTCCCCTCCTATTTCTCTTTCTCTGTTGAGAGAAGTGATTGGTCACACACTTCTCGCCACGCTCCAATCCGCGGCTACCACGGGTAGGCGGAATCAGTGACTAGTCTACGTTTTGGGAAGATGTACTTAAAGAGCTTGCTCTTAAAGTAGCAGTCGAGCACGGTTGACGTTCTGTTCCTTTCTCTCTCTATATCTGGGACGCCTTGTATAGGGAAGATGGGACAGAAGTTAGATAAACCCAGTAAGGGTTGGTTAGCATGTGATCTAGTGGAAGACAGAGAAGGAGAGGAGATGGTTAAGAAAGTGAGTAAGATTGCTAAAGTATGTGGAATTACCGTACTTCTGTGCGGCAGATTGTAGCCAGAGAGCTGGCATAAGTTACTGACAGAGAAGAAAGGGAAGCTGTCGGACCAAGATTTGGTTTGTACAGCAGAAGCCTGGTACCGAGTAGCAAGAGCTATTCAACAAAAGGGATAGGTTGAGGAAGAAATTGATCACAAAGGTTTAAGATTGTTTGTGTATTATAATAATTGTGTTACTGGGAAGTCCTCCCAGCCAGCGCCCTATGATGGCGCCCAGGAGGTGACCACTCCCAACATCGCGTCAGCAATGACCGAAATGTAGCTGACCATGGTCCCCACCCTACCACCACCCCTGTTTGCCCAGTCCTGAATGCTGATGGATCCCTATTCTCCCCCCCCCATCAGTCCTACAGATCTCGTCACCCTCATGCTCTCTCTGCAGCTCCCTGTACCTCCAGTCCGTTTCTCCCGTCAAAGATTTCTGGTTTCCAAACGTATAAGTCTCTGTCCTTCTGTCTTGTTACTTTCCAGCACTCTCATGGTTAATCTTCATGCCTGCAGTCTCTCTCTCCCCTTTTTTTTTGCACTGTCTTACTTTCTCCCCCCCCCCCTCCCCGCTTGCCTCCGAATGGAGGAGTCACATGCCTGCATTTCTACTGATAAGAGTTAGAGACGGGATTTTTGCTGGAAAATATTCTAATTCAAAGGTTATGGTGTTATAATTGTGTAATAAGTTTGCATGACGCCGGCAGATTCCACGGTGCTATATATATATATATATATATAAATTGTGTTTTGTGATAAAGTAGTGAGGATTGTGGGGGAGACACAAGCATGTAGCTCAGTGTTGATTACGGAGGTTAAGTAAGTGAATCTGATACAAGAATAGTGGCATATTTGGACGTGTTAAGTGTAAAGGCAAGCGTGATTTGTTGCAAAACTATGCAATGAGGATGATAAGGGAAATTGGTTGAATTCCGTGAGTTTATTTTGCATCATTTTATTATTTTAAAGTTATTTTAAAGTACATGTTTCTATGGACAGCTGTATGGGCTGTTAAATGCATAATGTTTTCAACTGTCTTATTTAACCTGCCAGGTCTGTTCATAGTTTAGTATTTCATTTTGCAGAACAGAATGTTGCTTCTCTGACTTATTTTATTAGTTATAATATAGTGTATTGTTGAAAGTGCGTCAGCCACCACCCTAAAGATGGCGCCTAGTACAGAAGGAGGTTGACCCTGCCAGTCCCGTGACCTATCTACAGTCACGGTTGCTTCTAAAGTGACGTCACTTCCGCCCTTACCATGCCCACACCTATCATGGACATCACCTCACTTCCTCCCTTGCTGTCATTTCCTTCCCCGCCCCTGTCATGGCTGCCTCCATCATGAGGCCTACCCTTATTATGCTCGTCCTATTTAGAGACATGTTGTTTTCCTTACACTCTACATATTATGAACAGAAACATTATAATTACTAAAACAATCATGCCATTTGTTTCCCTGTATCAGAAATTTGTCCGTGATAAAAAAAAAAAAAAAAGAGTTGCTAAAATGTCATTTGCAACTGTGGTGTGACCTACAAATGAGATCTGTTGGACACGAATATAAGAGCATAACAGCTGATTATCCAGATTAATCTTGCAACAAGGGAAATAGCCAAATAATGCAAGTTATTTTAAACATTGTATCTTTACTTAATCGAATCTTGCTAGTTACAGATCGTAGGTTTACAGTAACATCCTTTACGTTAAATGATGGTTTAGCATTAGAAGGGTTTGTGACATGTTTTATTACCCAGCCACTACTGGTTATTCATTTTAGTTGCAGGGTGGTATAATTGTTGTGGTCTAATTAATATAAATGATAGTACCGCAATAGTTAATGTTTTATCCAAAGACATTTAGGAACTTTACTTCACTTACTATTAACCATTATTTATAATGATAGAACCCACTGATGCTTAATGCCCCTGCCATGGCAGTGTCTACAGGGAACAAGGGGGGCCACTAGCCACTGTAACTTTACCTATTGAAGGTCACCCTACTACTTTCCTGGTTGACACAGGTGCAGCTCGCAGTGTTCTTAGAGAACAAGACCTGCCTGACTCATCGTTCCTGTCTGACACCGATGTCTCTTGTGTTGGTGTTGATGGTATTTCCCGCAGTAACCTGTCCATGTCCCATTAACCTCTTGGGTGCTGATGTCCTATCCCGCCTCCAAGCATCCATCACCCTCACTGCAGACGGCCAGGTTCAATTAAATACACCTTTGTCACGAAAAGACACTACAGTTCTTTGTTCCCTTCCCATTTTACTTGGAGATGACATCCCCACGACATGAAAATGTTCTCTGGACCTCCTTTGTTATCTTGCAGATCAGGGGTGTAAGGCATCTCTTGCCAAACTTCAATTTTGCCAGGCCACAGTAATCTTTCTAGGCCATTGCCTGTCCCATGGCACCAGACACCTCACCCGTGATCGTGTCGGAGTGGTTCTGGCCATTCCGCCTCCAAAAACTCCTAAATCCCTCCACGCCTTTCTAGGCCTCATTTCTTACTGCCGAGCGTGGATCCCAGAGGCCTCTCTACTCATGCAACCTTTGTACGATGCTCTTAAATCAGACCCGTTCTGTCTGTCCTCAGAAGCACATGACAACTTCTACACTCTCCAACGTGCTATTGCCTCTGCTCCTGCTCTTGGCCTACCAGACTATACCAAACCCTTCAAATTGTTTGTTTCTGAAAGACAAGGCCATGCAACAGGAGTACTCACTCAGGCCCATGGTCCTGGAGGCCGCCAAAGGCCTATTGGATTTTTCTCCTGCCAACTGGATATTGTGGCCAGAGGACGTCCCTCTTGCCTTCGGGCCGTCTTTGCTGCCAAAGAGCTCATTGAAAGAACTGGAGATCTTGTCCTTGGCCACCCCCTGGTTGTCTTGGCCCCTCATGACATTTCTGCCATAGTCAACCAGGTCCAACTTAAGCATGTTACTCCTGCTAGGCATCTTCGCCTTCAATGTCATCTTTTGTTGCCTGACAACATTACCCTTCAAAGATGTCAAGTTCTCAATCCGTCCACTCTTCTGCCACTCCCTGAGGGGGGTGTATACTACGGATTCATCATGGACGAAACTTATGTTTTTCTTCTCACTGGCACCATCAAGAAGGAAATGCATCCCAACCTATCCTTTCATGATGGACAAGCACTCCTTCATGACGGAGCAGGATATGCCTTCTGTACCATGTGGTACAAACCAAACATCACTCCTGAACCCTGCTATGAAGATGAACTCTATCATCTGGTCAAAGTAAAACTCACTGCACAAGACTTCTACTGTGATTCTGAAGGCAACAGTATGGTCTTGATTCATCTACCTCCGGAACTCAAGTATTTGTACCGTCATTGGGACACTGCCATTCCACATGTCCCTGTGACCAAGTTGAAAACAATATCATGGAATGATCTTGGGCCTATGGCAAAAGCATGGGCCACTATGGACGAATCACAGCTACAGGAAAATGGTGTTGTCAAATATCCAACAACTGACCACCTAAAAGCATGGCCACGTCATTTCCTGGAAAATGAGTTCCAAGATTTAACCATAGTGAATGACTACGACCCAAATACACCTCATGACTGTTTTGAACAGATGAAAATGGAAACAACACATCTACCAACTGTGCATGAAGACCCATTGGTAGATCCCGATCTCACCCTGTTTGTGGACGGCTCAAGATATGCTGATGAAGAAGGAAGATACCATACAGGATATGCAGTCACCACAACAGATGAAATTATCAAGTCATCATCTCTACCATCAACAATGTCTGCGCAGGAAGCTGAATTACAAGCCCTAACTTCAGCATGCAAGATATCTGAAGAAAAGCGCGCCAATATCTACACAGATTCAAGATATGCACTGGGCGTGGCTCATGACTTCGGATTAATTTGGAAAACAAGAGGATTTCTTACCACTGCCGGTACACCAGTCAAGCACAGCTCTGCAATCAAGGAGGTGTTGGATGCCCTCCTACTCCCAGAAGAAGTGGCCATTCTGAAGGTAAAGGCACATGGGAAGTTGGACTCAGATGAAGCAAAGGGGCAACCATCTGGCTGATCAAGTTGCAAAACAAGCTGCAAGAGAACTACAGGAAGTGGACAGAAGTGTGTCCGGAAACGAAGAAACTCCCACATTTACCTTGCAGACACTTCCAACTGATCTAAAAACCCTACGGGAACAACAGGCTGCAGTTGCTCCTGAAGAAATACAAAAATGGAAACAGAAAGGGGCAGTTCTGAAGGATGGAGTGTACTCCAACAACCTCAATTTCTGCCTCCCTAAGAATTTGTACCCAGCAGTCGTACAATGGGCACACGGACCTGCACATTTATCAAAGGATCTAATGAATGCTCTTGTACAAAAATACTACCTCACTGTCCCCATATGAGATTCTATTTGGGACTGCACCTAGGCTAGGTTGCTATTTTCCCCAACAACTACAACTTCAAACTGATGTTTTAGTAGATTATGTAACTGAACTCGCAAATGCTTTAAACAAAATCCATGCCCAAGTTTTCTCTTCAATTCCAGATCCTGATTCTGACACAGGCAACCACAGTCTGCTCCCCGGTGACTGGGTTCTGGTCAAGAAATTTGTGCGAAAACACACCCTGGAACCAAGATTTGACGGACCGTTCCAAGTTCTCCTGATCTCCCCTACCTCTGTCAAATTGGCCGGAAGGCCTAACTGGATCCACGCTTCCCATTGCAAGAAGACACCTGCCCCAGAGGAAGCTAACTCTATGCAACCATGTGCCTCTGGTACATTATCTCCTTAGTTGGCCTCCTTAAAGCCCAGCAGGTGGCCATCACCAAAGATGCTAGTGGGTACACTTTCTGGTATAATTCATCATGTACCCACGTGGCTACATTCACCTTTGACTACTGTGATATTGTAGAATGTCCATTCCCTAAGTCACAGATTCAAGCCATTTATAAAGATATACCACAAGCAAAAGACCCTTACGTTTGTGTAGTAGATGAACAATGGGGTTATGACTGTAACTACTGGGGGGCTGCGGGATGGAATACTGGGCCTGCCTGGGGTTATAAACCCAAAAGTGCTTTATCTAAGATAGACAATCAGGGTAGATCCCTCCTTCAAAGAATGACTTTAAGAAAGCCTGGAGGAAGTACCCCTATGAAATTAATGTTAAATATTGAACATCCTGGCCCTGAGGATGCAGACCGATATGTAATGGGAATGTATTGGAAGAAAGGTTCCTACAACAAATTAGGTCATTTCTACCTCAGAGATATGTACCACTCTCCAGAGTGGCAAGGGGCTGATCATATGGTCCCAAATCCGCTAAAACCACATATCCAGTCCTTTAAAGATATGATGGCCATCGCTAACCCCACTTTTGAAGATACCATGGCCGCTGAAACTGGATTCAATGACATTAATTTATGGTTAGAGTGGATGAAATATAATGCTAATAAACATAACAAAACCGCATGCTCTGTGTGTGGTGGTGCTCGACCTCATCTTGGCACCGTTCCTCTAACTCTCCCTTTGGAGACAGAGAATTGCTTCCTTAGTCTTTTTGCCTACCGCTATAATTTCAACAGATCCCTCTGCGAATCATGGGCGGCAGAGTACCCCCTCTTAATTGGTAATGTCAAACCCCCAGATGGAATCACGATTTACAAGGGTAATTACACTTGTTATGCTATCTATGACGGGATTGGTAAATTCATGGGTAACTTTTCTAATGGCTATTGTGCCACCTACAGAACTGTTCCTATATGCCTGTTGCAACACCATACCAGGTCATTGGGGGATATTTACTGGTTATGTGGGGATCTACAGTTAAGATCTAGGCTGGAAACTGAGTGGTGGGGTGAGTGTACCCTAGCCAAAGTTATCATGCCCATTCATATTATTTCTGATAATCATCATGACACATACGACCCTCCACATACACCAGCCAGAGTGAAGCGCGAAACCCCAGTAAAAGGCAGTTTTGACCCCCACATTTACATAGATGCCGTTGGGGTACCTAGGGGGGTGCCTAATGAATTTAAAGCTAGAGATGAAGTCGCTGTAGGTTTTGAATCACCTTTTACCATAGTTACTGCCAACAAAAACCTTAATTGGATTAACTACATTTATTACAACCAACAGCGTTTTGTCAACTACACCAGGGATGCCCTCCAGGGCCTGGCCGAGCAGTTGCAGGCCACATCCCAGATGACCTTCCAGAAAAGAATGGCCTTAGACATGATCCTAGCTGAAAAGGGGGGTGTATGTAAAATACTACCTGACCCCATGACTTGTTGCACTTACATTCCAGAAAACACAGGTCCTAATGGTAAAGTCACTCTGGCCATAGATAAATTAAATAGACTCTCAGAAGAGTTAAAAAGAAACTCTGGAGTTACTGATCCCTGGGAAAAATGGTTTGGTTGGATGACTGGTTGGCAGAGAGCTTTAGTCCAGATTGGTATTGCCTTACTAATTTTTCTTTTTATTCTCGCTCTTCTCATTTGTTGTGTCCTCCCATGCCTAAGGAAGTTCCTGCAGAAAACTGTAGACCAAGCAACACCAACCTTCGCCCATCTAGAGATTGGTGACCAAGACCTCACATCACCCTGTATTCCGCTACAAACTCTCCCTTATACTGATGAAGTGCAGAAAGTCCAGGAAGGGACAGTACAGGGACAGCGTCCGTCTTTATGGGTAGACTGCCGTACGGAGAAGTAGTGGATAAGCCACTATGGGTTACCAGCGGAGTGAAGAGTGTTCCTGAACCGTACTGACGGATGTGCTGCAGCCTGTTAGGGTCAAGAGAGGGATAGACTTGCACTTTGCATTAACACTAAGTCAGCGGTCATGGGGTTTCTGTGTCTTTGGGCTAACAAGTCTTCTGGTATTAACAAATAAAGTTTATCTTTTAGTAACTAACATTTTAAGGGGGGACTGTTGTAGAATTATACAATTCTTGAAATTATCTAAGCTAATGCTTTGTCAGGAAGAAATGTGCTGAATAATAAAATGTGTATTTACTAAAAGAACCTTGAAGCTAACAATACTAACTACTCAAAATGGCTGCCAAAGCACCCCTCCCATCGAGTGAACACCTCGTGCTAACAAGATGGCGCCTACATCTTGTGTCCACTCCCGTGTCAAGGATGACATCACCTCTTGATAGGAGGGTATCTAACTAACCACTTAACACCTGGACCAATCAATAGTGTCTATTTGCTGTTATCTTGAATTCTTCAGTGATGTAATAATGCCTTTAAAAGGGTCTGCGCACCCATTTTCTGTCAGAAGCCATTAAACTTCTCCGAAGTTCTTTCATTAACCTGAACTCTGTGTCTCAGTGTGAATTTACTTCTGCGTGCACGCAACTTTATTATCTTTAATTTGGACAGGAACAGATAGTCATTCAAACTAATTGGTTTGCAGTAAATCAACTACAACACTGGTAGCCACTGTCTCTCCACCCACCCCCCAGGCCTGTGTAGGCTTAGTTAGCACTATACCTACTGAGCCCCCTCTCAGCCCAAAGATTTTCCAAGGTATAACTCCCTCACTGTAAAAATGTAGTCATGAGCTGAAGGAAAGACAAACATAACATCCTTTATCTTGTACAGAGAGTCTCAGGGGGTGGTTTCTAAGAAGAGGAGCAGAAGATTTAAGCTCTTTAGTTGTGTGCCAAGGAAATGGTGGTGGATACAGAGCGAGTCTAAATTGGATAGCAGCAGCAGACCTTGGTTCTTTAGGAGTGAGCCCAGGGTAAAGACATTAATGTATAAACACATAAAAGTGTATCTTGTGGTAATATAAAGTCTGAAAAAAGTTAAAACACTTCACAAGAGTTCCCCCTCTACTAGACACTCATTCACTTCTTTGGAGCTCCATCCCAGGGATCCCAGTCACAACATAGGAAAAAAGGAACAGGCTACACAAAGCATATTGCAACTGCTTATTGGAGAATGCCCATCAAATACGCAACATTTTGACCAAAATGGTTAGACCGAAACATTGCATTTCTGGGTATAAGCCATCTCTGATGGCTTAATAATTGTTGGTTCCCCGATCACACACTATAAATCCCATGTGCACTGTTAAGCCTGCTTCCTCTCCAGACCGCTTTTCTATTATAGGATATTAGCTGAGGTGTGCAGCTGATCAATAATCTAAGCATGTAGCAGGAAAGATTTGTACCATACACTTTCAGCTTGTGTCACCTAAAATGCTCGATTCTGCAAGAGATTTTCCTGCTACCAACGGCACGTTAAGGACCAGAGAGAATGTTTGTGCACTAGAGGCAGTCCATATGTCTATGGTGATTAACACACTCTGCATACCAACCTTTGTACCTTTTCTGTGTATAACTTTTAAGGGAAAAGCTGTCTGAGTAGGTACTTCTTTACTGCTAAATGTGATTTCTGCTAAATGTGGTTTGGGAAGGCTGGTGGGAATTGGCTCCCCTTCTATAATTGCAAAAAAACAAAACAAAAAAAATCATCATCCAATAGCAGTTTAAATCTTTGACTTATTTAATATGGCTCTTACATGTACAGGGCCAAGTTCTTATAAGCGTTTGCCAACTTTGCGAACACTACTCCTGTAACAGAAGAGCCTAATATTGTGTATGGAGAGGATTGTTCCAAAACTTTTTTCTGCTGACTTTCATGTCAACCAGTTTGCACGTTTCAAAACGTCTATCTCCCACACTATCAAAATGATCCCACACTTTTTTCCCTGTGCTCTATATCTGCTTCTGCTCAACGTGAAGTGGGGGCCTTGTAGAGCTACTCTACTACTGCTGCATTGTAGTTCCATAGAGTCTGGCATGACGTGAGGGGAGGGGGGTTAAATTACTGCATCTGTCAAATTAGTAGTAACAACAACCTTCTTTTTAGTATTTAGGAGCCTGTCTTACATTTATTGGTGTGTGTGTGTGTGTGTGTGACACACACACACTATATGCTAAAATACGTAGAGAGGGAATCAGTACAAATCCCCATTACAGAGTTTGCATGATGAATAAAAAGGTAATGAAGCTTTTTATTTATTTTTTTTATTCAGGTTAAAAGCGCTTGGGTCCATATAGGTGTTCGTGATAAATTAACAATACTATATGAATCCTCCTAAAACACCAAGACAAACTAAGAAAGCACGGAAAAATAATTCAAATGCATACTACTTCAGAAAACGTTTTCAGCTCACGCAATCTTTTCCAAGCAGTGACTTATGAACAAAGTTCTTAAATCAAAACAGAGTTGCAGTCAAAATAGCCAGTTCTGTTATAAAATTTGTACTTTCATTTATAACTCACCATTGAGTAAATAAAACACGTACTTACTTGACAAAGTGCGCTCATTTTCTCTTTAAACTCATTTCTATCCAATTAAAAAACAAAACATTAAAATAAAGAACAAAATACAGACACACAAACCTCCAGTCTAAAGTTATTTATTGTGCAAAACGATGTCACAATGTAGCACAACACTCACAATCCATGTACATTTAACATATAGAAGTAATTAGCACCTTCTGGCTGTTTA